TTCCTTTTTTTTAATCAAAATGGATAATAGAATAGTCTAGAACGGGTCTTGTGAGAATAATGAGGAGAAGGAGAGTAGAGAGGCCTTTTGGTGGAGGGATTATTCCTTTTGCAGAGGTTGGAATCTTCACTGATGGAAACTTCTTCTTAACATGTCCTTCACTAATAACCCATTCTGGAACTGGTCTTTGGTGAATAATGTGGGAGTAGAGAGTAGTAGGGGAATTGCCTTTTGGTGGTCCACCATGGAGCCATTAATCAGTCAGTGAGGAAGAGTAAAGGAAGGAGAGGTTGGAATACTCTGCGTGAGTGACAATGATGGAACTTCTTAAGCATGTCCTTCACTAATACACCCATGTCTGGAACTGTTTGTGGTGAATAATAAGGAGTAGAGAGTAGAGGGGAGGGGATTGCCTTTTGGTGGTCTCCACTGTGGATCTTCTTCCTTACGGAATCCTTTCCTTTTTTTTATTCAAAATGGATAATAGAATAGTCTGGAACTGGTCTTGTGGTGAATAATGAGGAGTAGAGAGTAGAGGGGAGGGGATTGCCTTTTGGTGGTCTTCACCATGGAGTCTTCTTACTTAATCCCTTTCCTTTTTTTAATCAAATAGTCTGGAACTGGTCTCTGGTGAATAATGAGGAGTAGAGAGTAGAGGGGAGGGGATTGCCTTTTGGTGGTTTCCACTGTGGAGTCGTCTTCTTACGGAATCCCTTTCCTTTTTTTAATCAAAATGGATAATAGAATAGTCTAGAACGGGTCTTGTGGAGAATAATGAGGAGAAGGTAAAGAGTAGAGGGGAGGGGATGCCTTTTGGTGGTCTACACCATGGAGCGATTATTCACCGATGGGTTCCGTGAGGAAGAGTAAAGGAAGGAGAGGTTGGAATACTCCTGCGTGAGTGACAATGATGGAACTTCTTAAGCATGTCCTTCACTAATACACCCATATCTGGAACTGGTCTTCTGGTGAATAATGTGGTGAATAATGAGAGTAGAGAGTAGAGGGGAGGGGATTGCCTTTTGGTGGTCTCCACCATGGAGCCATTAATCACTGATGGGCTCAGTGAGGAAGAGTAAAGGAAGGAGAGGTTGGAATACTCCTGCGTGAGTGACAATGATGGAACTTCTTAAGCATGTCCTTCACTAATACACCCATGTCTGGAACTGGTTTTGTGGTGAATAATAAGGAGTAGAGAGTAAAGGGGAGGGGATTGCCTTTTGGTGCTCTCCACCATTGGATCTTCTCCTTTCGGAATCCGTTTCCTTTTTTTAATCAAAATGGATAATAGAATAGTCTGGAACTGGTCTTGTGGAGAATAATGAGGGAGAAGGTAGAGGGGAGGGGATTGCCTTTTGGTGGTCTCCACCATGGAGTCTTCTCCTTTACGGAATACCTTTCCTTTTTTTAATCAAAATGGATAGTAGAATAGTCTGGAACTGGTCTTGCGGTGATTAATGAGGAGTAGAGGGGAGGGGACTGCCTTTTGGTGATCTCCACCATAGAGTCTTCTCCTTACGGAATCCCTTTCCTTTTTTAATCAAAATGGATAATAGAATAGTCTGGAACTGGTCTTCTGGTGAATAATGAAAAAGAAGGTAGAGAGTAGAGGGGAGGGGATTTCCTTTTGGTGGTCTCCACCATGGAGTCTTCTCCTTACGGAATCCCTTTCTTTTTTTTTTGGAGCCATTAATCACTGATGGGTTCTGTGAGGAAGAGTAAAGGAAGGAGAGGTTGGAATACTCCTGCATGAGGGACGATGATGGAACCTCTTAAGCATGTCCTTCACTAATACACCTATGTCTGAAACTGGTCTTGTGGAGAATAATGAGGAGTAGAAAGTAAAGGGAAGGGATTGCCTTTTGGAGGTCTCCACCATGGAGTCTTCTTTTTTTGGAATCCCTTTCCTTTTTTTAATCAAAATGGACAATAGAATAGTCTGGAACTGGTCTTGTGGTGAATAATGAGGAGTAGAGAGTAGAGAGGATGGGATTGCCTTTTGGTGGTCTCCACCAGGGAGCCATTAATCACTGATGGGTTCCGTGAGGAAGAGTAAAGGAAGGAGAGGTTGGAATACTCCTGCGTGAGTGACAGTGATGGAACCTCTTAAGCATGTCCTTCACTAATACACCCATGTCTGGAACTGGTCTTGTGGTGAATAATGAGGAGTAGAGAGTAGAGGGGAGAGGATTGCCTTTTGGTGGTCTCCACCATGGAGTCTTCTCCTTACGGAATCCCTTTCCTTTTTTTTAATCAAAATGGATATTAGAATAGTCTGGAACTGGTCTTCTCTTGAATAATGAGGATCCTGCGCACTGGAAAAGGGGTCAGAGTAAAGGGAACTTTGAAATAGATTTGGACACTTGTTTGGTGTTTTAGTATTGCCCGTCACTCATTGAGATCACTTGTTACCTTGCGTTTCTCTTGAACCAAAAAAAAAAGAACTGATAAAACAGAACGCTCAGCAGAGAAAGCGATTATGCAGATGAGATGGCGGAGTACAGATAGAAAAGTCGTTGGAGTCGTTCTTCTAGATGAGGCAGCACAATGGCGGCAGCACCAGATAACGTATTGTTTTATTAGTTCACCAGAAGCTGCATCATCATTACCGCCGCAAACTTTACAGGCTTCTCTGGATGAATCAAAGACCCAAATCCATTCTAGGAACAAGAGATATATTCCCGAGCCAATGAATACAAATAATCTGTGCAGTTGGAGTCTTTTTCTGCTGAATTTCACTTCTCTTTATTCTGATTTATGAAAATGTTCTAAACAGATATTTAACTGGAATCTATACTTATTTACTTACTTTTTTAGATATACTGCATGTAAATGTGCCCAGCTTAAAGGGCAAGACCAAAATAATGGCTTCATTGGCTTTCATTGGTTGATTATGGCTGCTAATTAGATTTTAGCCCCTAAAGATTGACGGTATGAATAGTACGACTTTGTAGTTTGTATCTTTACCCCTCCCACAAGGATGACATTTCCTGCAGTAGTTTGTGTCTCTGCCCCTCCCAGAATTATGTTTGTGTCTCTGCCCCTCCCTCAATGATGAGATTTCCCGCAGTAGTTTATGACTCTGCCCCTCCCACAATGATGAGATTTCCTGCAGTAGTTTGTCTCTGCCCCTCCCACAATGATGAGATTTCCTGCAGTAGTTTGTGTCTCTACCCCTCCCACAATTATGAGATTTCCCACAGTAGTTTGTGTCTCTGCCCCTCCCATAATGATGAGATTTCTCACAGTAGTTTGTGTCTCTGCCCCTCCCACAATGATGAGATTTCCTGCAGTAGTTTGTGTCTCTGCCCCTCCCACAATGATGAGATTTGTTGCAGTAGTTTTTGTGTTTATGCCCCTCCCACAATGGTGAGATTTCCTGCAATCGTTTGTGTCTCTGCCCCTCCCACAATGGTGAGATTTCCTATGGTAATTTGTGTCACTGCTCCTCCCAGAAAGATGTTCATGTCTCTGCCCCTCCCACAATGATGAGAATTCCTGCAGTAGTTTTGTGTCTCTGCCACTCCCACATTAATGAGATTCCCCATCAATAGTTTATGTCTATGCCCCTCCCCCATAATGATGACACTTCCCACTGTTTTTGTACCTCCATCACCCACAGTGGTAAGACTGTTTTTTATCAAAGTAGTTTGTGTCTCTGCCCCTACCACAATTATGAGAATTCCCCAAAGTTTTTTTTTTTACTGCACCTCTCCCACAATGGTGAGATTTCCTTCCAGTAGTTTATGTCTATGCCCCTCCCACAATGGTGAGGTTATCCCAATGTAATTTGGGTCTTTGCCCCTCCCACAATGATGAGGTTATCCCAATGTAATTTGGGTGTTTGCACCTCCCAGAATGATGAGACATCCTCACAGTTTTTGTGCCTCCATCGCCCACAGTGGTGAGATTTTCCTGATGTAGTTTGTGTCTCCACCCCTCCCACAATCAAAAGAATAACCCAGTTGTTTTTTTTTAATCCACCCCTCCCGCATGTTTATGCCCCTCCCACAATGGTGAGATTTTCCTGCATTGGTTTGTGTCCCTGCCCCTCCCACAATGGTGAGATTTTCCTGCAGTAATTTGTGTCCCTGCCCCTCCCACAATAATGAGGTTTTCCCAAAGTAGTTTAAGTCTATGCCCCTCTCACAATTATGAGGATCTCCCAATAAAGTTTGAGTCTATGGCCCTCCCACAATGATGAGGTTTTCCCAATGTAGTATAAGTTTATGCCTCTTCCACAATGATGAGGTTTTCCCAATGCAGATTGAGTCTATGCTCCTCCCACAATGATGAGGTTCTCCCAGTGTAGTTTGAGTTTATATCCCTCCCACAGAGACTTCCCTATCATTTTTGCACCTCCATCTCCCACAGTCTATCAATGGTAAGATTTCCCTACAGTGATTTCTGTCACTGCCCCTCCCACAATAATAAGTTTTTAACCAATGTAGTTTGAGTCTATGCCCCTCCCACAATGATAAGGTTCTCCCAATGTGGTTTAAGTCTATGCTCCACGCACAATGATGAGGATCTCCCAATATAATTTGAGTCTATGCCCCTTCCACAATGATGAGGTTTTCTCAATGTAGTCTGAGTCTTTGCCCCTCCCACAATGATGAGGCTTTCTCAATGTAGTCTGAGTCTTTTGCCCCCTCCCACAATAATGAAACTTCCCCAAGGTTTTTGCATCTCCATCTCCCACAGTCCCACAATGGAGAAATTTCCCTGTAGTTTTGTGCTTCAGTCTTCATATAATGGTGAATTTTTCTCCAAGTAGTTTGTGTCTCCGCCCCATTCTGCAATGGTGAGATGTCACTAGTTTGTGTCTCTGCCCCCCCACAATGAGAACTCTTCCCCATAGTTGTTGTGTCCTTGCCCCACCCACAATAGTGACATTTCCTGCAATAAACTTTCCATCCGGTGGACTTATGGGCTGTCTGCTTGGTACGAGCCATTACTTCTCAGATCTTCACTGGGAACTCTAGACTTGGTGGCTTCATCTATCTTCTCTTGGGCTCAGAAGACCTGATGTGCACAGAACTGGATCCTCCACATCCCCTCACCCCCTTTAAGTGATAGTGTAGTCCTAGCTTGTAAGCTCCAAGGATCAGGGCCCTCCTTGCGGCCTCCTGCAGAGCCATGATGGTGGAGCTCTGGAAGCGCAGGTCAGTCTTGAAGTCCTGGGCGATCTCTCGGACAAGACGCTGGAAGGGCAGCTTGCGGATGAGCAGCTTGGTGGATTTCTGGTAGCGTTGGATCTCTCGGAGAACCACGATGCCCGGCCTGTAGCGGTGAGGCTTCTTTACTCTGCCGGTGGCTGGGGCGCTCTTGTGGGCGTCTTTGGCGGCCAGCTGCTTGCGGGGAGCTTTCCCTCCGCTGGACTTACGGGCGGTCTGCTTGGTACGAGCCATTACTTCTCAGATCTTCACTGGGAACTCTAGACTGGCTTCATCTACTCTTGGGCTCAGAAGACCTGATGTGCACACAACTGGATCCTCCACATCCCCTCACCCCCTTTAAGTGATAGTGTAGTCCTAGATTGTAAGCTCCAAGGATCAGGGACCTCCTATCCCTCTTGTATTGAACTGTATTGTTGCTGTATTGTCTCCTGTTCTATTGTAAAGCGCTGAGCAAACTTTTGGCGCTATATAAATCATGTATAATAGTAATAATAATAGTGATGGTGATGCCATCATCATGCGCTGATGTCATTGACATGCCGTAGCCAATACATGGATGCCATAAACCGTACGAAGACTCGCTGGCCAGCGTAACCACTGAAGTCAAATGCCAACTATGAAAATTGCAAAGTGCGTCATTAGTTGGCGAAGCCTCGTACGGCGATGTCGTGAATATAAATTGCTTGATTTAGCAAAGAGAGAAATTAATCAAGTATTTTGTCTGGTTATCTACGACACCAATCTCTGGCTGCTTGCCTGTTCCTATCTCCCTTTTCTTGTGCGGTTCTTACATTGTTATGGCTGCCTCACAAGTCCCGTAATTATTCTTTGTTTAAAAAGCTAAACATTCAAAGCGGCTATGACAGAATCTCATTTTCTCCCCCGGCCCTCGGTTACTGAATACATTACAGACGAATATTAAGTTGCACAATCTGATTTCCATAAATGAATTCTGTTCAATTGTCAGCTTTAAATTAACTTAATCTTGTAAATCTGCCGGATTATAGAATTGCCGTCTTGTCAATAAGTGTCAGACGTTTTTAGTCTATTTCATCTTTTTAGTTATTGTTTTAATTTGTAGGTGTGTATTTTTTTGGGGGGGAATGGTGGTGGTGGGGGGACTTTTGTTTCATTCGCTATAGAGGTGTCAAGTTTGTAATTATCAACCAAGCTGGGATGTCGGCAGCATAGTAATAAGGAGCGCCTGAAAGAAGACTAACTGGATGACGATTAAGAAATTGTCAGCGGCAGAGAACCGAGGTGAGACATTCTCCATTACGGCTTATTGGAAAAACAATCCTTGCATGGCAATTATGGCGGCTTGGTGGTTTGCATGTGCGCCTTGTAGCGCTGTAGTTGTCAATTTAAAGTGGTTGTAAATCTCAGACATGAAATATGAACAAACAGAAAAAACAAATAGACTAGGCACTCAATTACACTATATGGGGCACACGCATATCACCAATGCTGCTGTAGCAGGAAGCCCCTTTGGGAATAGGGTCAAAGCAAATATATCCAAAAAAAACAAAGATACTGCACACTGGTGGTTAGCAATAAGCCAATGATGATTATATCTGGAACTCGTGACCAAGAAAAGGTTCAGTTCGTTCTTTAGAATGTAAATATAATCCTTTAATAAACTCAATAAAATGTGACATCTCAAGTCAGTAACAGCCATAGTATACCATAGACTCATTGGAAAGAAATGAATCTCACCACTGCCACGGTGGCAACTCTGGATGTGATGTGGAGGTACACTATATTGCCAAAAGTATTGGGCTAGCCCTCCAAATCATGTGATTCAGGTGTTCCAATCCCCTCCATGACCACAAGTGTATACAATCAAGCCCCTAGGCATGCAGACTGCTTCTACAAACATTGGTGAACGAATGGGTCGCTCTCAGGAGCTCAGTGACTCCAAGCGTGGTCCCGTGATAGGTGGCCACCTGTGCAATAAGTCCATCCGTGACATTTCCTGGCTACTAAATATTCCACGCTCAACTGTTAGTGGAAGCAACTGGGAACAACAACAACTCAGCCACGAAAAATGACAGAGCGAGGTCACACAATGCATAGAAGTTGCCAACTGTCTGCAGAGTCAATAGTTAAAGACCTCCAAATTTGTTTTTTCCTTCAGATGAGCACAACAACAGTGCATAGAGAGCTTCATGGAATAGGTTTCCATGGCCGAGCAGCTGCATCCAAGCCTTACATCACCAAGTGCAATGCAATGCGTGGTGTAAAGCACGCCACCACTGGGCTCTAGAGCAGTGGAGACATGTTCTCTGGAGTGACCAATCACGCTTCTCTGTCTGGCAATCCAATGGACGTATCTGGGTTTGGCGGTTGACAGAATGGTACTTGCCTGACTGCATTGTGCCAAGTGTACAGTTTGGTGGAGGGGAGATTATGTGGGGTTGTTTTTCAGGAGTTGGGCTTGGCCCCCTAGTTCCAGTGAAGGGAACTCTTAAGGCGTCAGCATACCAAAATATTTTGGACAATTTCATGCTCCCAACTTTGTGGGAACAGTTTGGGGATGGCCCATTCCTGTTCCAACATGACTGAGCACCAGTGCACAAAGCAAGGTCCATAAAGACATGGAGGAGCAAGTTTGGGGTGGAGGAACTTGACTGGCCTGCACAGAGTCCTGACCTCAACCCCATAGAACACCTTTGGGATGAATTAGAGCGGAGACTGCGAGCCAGGCCTCCTCCCCCGACATCAGTGCCTGACCTGACAAATGTGCTTCTGGAAGAATGGTCCAACCTTCCCATAGACACCCTCCTAAACCTTGTGGACGGCCTTCCCAGAAGAGTTGAAGCTGTTATAGCTGTAAAGGGCGGGGCCAACTCAATATTGAACCCTACGGACTAAGACTGGGGGGCCATTAACATTCATGCGTGTGTAAAGGTAAGTGTCACAATACTTTTGGCAATATAGCATATAGAGTTGCCACCGTAACTGTGGTGAGATTGAGCCGGCTTAATGGTATACTATGGCAGTTACTGACTTATGAAATGTCACATTTTATTGAGTTTATTAAAGGATTACATTTGCATTCTAAGGGACGGACTGAACGTTTTCTTGGGCACGAGTTCCATATATCATTATCATTGGCTTATTGCTAACCATCAGTGTGCAGTATCTTTGATTTATGGAAATATGAACAAAGCATATCCCTCTATAATGCGTACTTGTCTCAATCCAGAGCACTAAGTGTCATTTCTGTCTGCTGCCTCCTTCCTCTGCTGTCTTTCGCTTCTGACAGGTTTTCCTGACACCAAGAGAAAAATGGTGACAAGGAAGGGAGCTACAGCACACAGCCTGTGATTGACAGCCCCAGCTGTGTTCCTGTGTGCTATGTGAATAGGGTGTGTGCCTTACCTCCAATCATCTCTCGCTGAGCTCTGCAGTGTGCAATTTCAGCTCTCTGACCCCTGCTTTTTGAAAGCTTAGACAAGTTTTATAAATTCTGGAATTTGAACTGATGTAGAGAAGAGAAGACCGCAGATAAAAAGGTAAAACTTATGTAGCAGGATTTGTTTCATTTCTGTGTATCACCTGAGGTCAGTCACTTCACTGGGTATATGGAAGGGTTTATGCGAGCTCAGTGGCAGCTGATTGGAGGGAAGGGACACCCCTTTCACACAGCTCACAGGAACAGAGCTGAGGCTGTCAATCTTCTGGAGGTCCCTGCCCTGTCACCATTTACCTCTTGGTGTCAGGAAAGCTTGTTAGAAGTGATTCATGCAGATAGCAGAAGAACAAAGCAGCAGACAGAAATCGCACTTAGTGCTCTGGATTGAGACAAGTACACACTATAGAGGGATATGCTTTGTTCCTATTTCATGTCCAAGGTTTACAACCACTTTCAGTCATAGCAGAGCCTTTGAGAATTTTATATCTTTGATACTATTGGATAGTATTGTGCCTCAAGTGTTGCATTGTGAAAAAAAAAAAAGTGGTCAGGTGCAGTTTTTGGTAAATTAACCCTTTTGCTGCCAGAGCTGCTTTTCCTTTTTTTCTGCTTTCATTTTAGGTCTGAAGATTACTTAAAACCTCCCAGCATTATACACCAATCAGCCATAACATTATGACCACTGACAGGTAAAGTGAATAACATTTATCTTGTTACAATGGCATCTGTAAGTGAATGTGATATACTAGGCAGCAAGTGAATGTACAAGCATGTTGTTCCTGAAGCTGATATGTCAAAAACAGAAAAAAAGGGCAAGCGTAGGAATTTGAGCACCTTTGACAAGGGCCAAATTGTAATGTCTAGATGATTGGGTCAGAGCAACTCCAAAACTGCAACTGTTGTGGGATGTAACTGGTCTGCAGTGGTCAGGACCGAGCAAAAGTGGTGCAAAGAAGGAAAACTGGTGACAGGGTCATAAGTGGCCAAGGATTATTGATGCACGTGAGGAGCATAGGCTGGTCCAGGGGCGGACTGACATCTCATGGGGCCTCCAGGCAATAGGGGATCATGGCCCCTGTGTCCTTGCCCAAAACTCAAAAAAGCCTATGAAAAAGGTACCAGGGGCATCTCATGGGGCCCCCTACTGACCCCGGGCCCTTAGGCAGTGCCTGAGTTTCCAAATGGTCAGTCCACCCCTGGGCTGGTCTGTGTAGTCTGATCCAATAGAAGAGCTGTTGGAGCTTAAATTGCTGAAAAAGTTAGTGCTGGTGCTGATGGAAAGGTGTCAGAACACACAGAACATCGCAGTTTGTTATGTAAGGGGCTATGTACAGATCGGTCAGGGTGTCCATGCTGACCCGTGTTCACAGCCAAAAGTGCCTACAATGGGCACGCGAGCATCAGAACTGGACCAGAAGCAATGGAAGAAGGTGGCCTGGTCTGATGAATTCAAGAATGGTTTGAGGAACACAACAACGAGTTTGAGATGTTAACTTGACCTCCAAATTCTCCAGCTTTCAATCCAGTCGAGCATCTGTGGGATGTGCTGAAAAAAAAAAAGTCCGATCCATGGAGCCCGATCCATGGAGGCCCCACCCATGGAGGTACCACATACTCACATACTCACATACCATACCACATACCTCCAGAGATCTAGTGGAGTCCATGCCTCGATGGATTATGGTGGATAGTCATAACGTTCTGAATGATCGGTGTATATTTTCTCAAAGCAGACATGCTAGAGAATAAAATAGTGGTAGTTCCAATTTTTGATGTCTCACAATATTTGCACAATAGTTTTACACAAAGGGCATATTGTCAGTAAAAAAATTAACCAAAAGTTCATTTTACACAAATGCAATATATTACTCAATTTGGGTGAATTATAAAAAATTAGTTCTAGAATTGTGCATGCTCATCAGAACACCCGAAAAGCTTCAGTTTGGTCAGAAACTAGGCGCTGCGACTATGTTACCCAATTTAGGTGAATTACAAAAAAAGAGGCTGCACTGAGTAAATAGATACCCAACATGTCAAGAGTTACAGTTGCACATACCCATTAAAATATAAGGAACTTCACCACCCTACATTTTCCCTAAGGAAGCTGCTGGGTGGTTATCTGAACACCTGAGTAGCTAAAGTTTGGTCTAAAACTAGGTACTGCGAATATATTATCCAATTTGGGTGAATTATAAAATGTGAGGTTGTGCCGAGTAAATAGATACCCAACATGTCAAGCTTTAGAATTTCTGCATACCCATAAAACTATGAGGAACTTCACCACCCTATAGTTTCCTATGGAAGATGCTGGGTGTTCATTTGAACACCTGAGCAACTAAAGTTTGGTCTGAAACTAGCTGCTACGAATATACTAACCAATTTGGGTAAATTATAAAAAATGAGGTTGTGTCGAGTAAATAGATACCCAACATGTCAAGCTTTAAAACTGCACATACCCATAAAACTATGAGGAACTTCACTACCCTATATCTTCCCTAAGGAAGCTGCTGAGCATTCATCTGAACATCAGGAACAACTAAAGTTTGGTCCTAAACTAAGAGCTGTGAATATATTACCCAGTTTGGGTGAATCATAAAAAAAGGTTGCAGCAAGTAAATGGATACCCAATATGTCAAGCTTTAAATTTGCACATACCCATAAAACTATGAGGAACTTCAGTACCCTATATTTTCCCTAAGGAAGCTGCTGGGTTGCTATCTGATTACCTGAACAGCTAAAGTTTGGTCCAAAACTAGGTGCTGCGAATACATTACCCATTTTGGGTGAATTACAAAAAAAGACGTTGTGCCGAGTAAATAGATACCCAACATGTCAAGCTTTAAAATTGTGCATACTCATAAAACTATGAGGACCATCACTACACTGTATCTTCCCTAAGGAAGCTGCTGGGTGGTTATCTGAACACCTGAGCAGCTAAAGTTTGGTCCAAAACCAGGTGCTGCAAATATATTACCCAATTTGGGTAAATTATAAAAAATGAGGTCGTGCTGAGTAAATAGATATCCAACATGTCAAGCTGTGCGTAGCTATAAAACTATGCAGAACTTCACTACCCTATATTTCCCTAAGGAAGCTTCAGGGCATTTGTTTGAACACCTACCCAGCCAAAGTTTGGTCTGAACCTACGTGCTGCAGGATAGGTGGGTTGGTGGTGCATTGGATTAATGTATGAGGGTGCCATTGAATATGAATGGTGCCACAACATACCCCATAGCAGTGAATTGTGGTAATGTGCATTAAAATGGCCTGAAGGCCATAGTAGGTGGACAGCAAAGGTTCACCCATTACTCACACTCTATGAGGTCTCCAGAACTGAGTATCATGTGTGCCATAAGCACCCAATCACCACTGAGGTCCAATTTGAGTGAATTACAAAAAAGAGGCTGCGCCGAGTAGATAGCAGCTAAAGTTATGTCTGACACTAGGTGCTGCAAATATATTACCCAGTTTGGGTGAATTATAAAAGATGAGGTTGTGCCGAATAAATAGATACCCAACATGTCAAGCTTTACAATTGAGCACACCCTAAAACTATGAGGAACTTCACTACCCTATATCTTCCCTAAGAAGCTGCAGGGCATTTGTCTGAACACCTACCCAGCCAAAGTTTGATCCAAACCTAAGTGGTGTAGGGTAGGTGGGTTGGTGGTGTATTGGTTTAGTGTGTGAGGGTGCCATTGAATATGAATGGTGCCACAACATACCCCATAGCAGTGCATTGTGGTAATATGTATCAAAATGGCCTGAAGGCTTCAGTAGGTGGACAGCAAAGGTTCACCCATTACTCACACTCTATGAGGTCTCCAGGACTGAGTATCATATGTGCCATAAGAACCCTATCAGCACTGAGGTCCAGGTTCTGCTGCATGCATTGACCATGGCGACCTACAGGGCGTAAAATCCTCCAGTATTAGAGAACGGGGTGTTGGCTCATCTTTCTGAGCGTAGG